GCTGGGATCATGACCTGAGCCGAAGGCAGAGGCTTTAGCCATTGAGCCACCCAGGCGCCCCTGTTTGTCTTTTTTAAAGTAGGCTCCAGGCACAGGATGGAGATCAAGACCTGAGCTGAGAGCGCGAGTCCAGTGCTCAACAAACCGAGTCACCCGGGTGCCACAGAAAGAACACTTGCTGAACAGAATTTAACTGTGACTTTATCTACATTTATAGAACATTTTTTCATACACACACAGTTGAATTAAATCTCTCCTTGTAGTTTCACGGTGATTACTCTTTTTTCTTTGATATGTTTCTGAATCTAAACTTTAACTTCCTAAAGTGCTGTCACTTCACTTGGTCCAATCTGCACTTGAGATGTACATCCTCCAATCTTCTTGAAGACCTTTATACTCCATAAAACATTTGTACCCTGGAATTACCATACATGACTGATTCAGTCCCCCATATCCTCAAATGTCAGAGTTAACGGTTTCTTCATTCAAAGATGATCTTTTAAATTCTCTCCATTAAGCACTATTAGGCTTCTTATATTAGTAAACATTTAAATTCTGGTGCTTTCATTTTCAGCAATGCTCAATTTAAAAAACCATATCATAAGGAATATCACCTCCATATTCTAAATAATGTCCCTTGTAACAAGAAGCCAACAATATAGCTACTTTCTAATCTGACACTGTCCACCTGGGGTTTTAGAACAGTTAGGACCGAACGAGAAGAGTGATTTGGTACCAAGTGTGGAAGAGATAAAATGTAAAACAAGTCAAAAATTCATGATTTATTTACTGTGGGACTATAAGATATAACAAAAGATAAATTAATCAGTTTCACTAGTGACAGAACTCACACTCATAATTTTAACTGCCAACTTTTTATAGAAGGCTAAATTCTACTTTACTAGTAATCACTTCAAATCTCTACATTTGATTTATCTTTGTAACAACAGGAATATGTACTTTCTTTTTCTACAATGTTTATGTTCTCATCATAATTACCAATGGTTTGTAGTTAACAATGGAAGCAATGGTACGGACTTTTCAATTGTCCACAATTAAACTTTCAAAATTCGAAACAATGTTATTTCATACCATCCAAATGAATTTAGACCAATTTTAGCTCCTGTTCAACATCACCAGTATTATCTGATTTCTCTGTGGTAATTAGATTCAGTTAGAAAATCAAGAACAAGAAGAGCTCAAAAATGTTTTCAGTATCTTGTTACTAGCACTTAAAAAAAAAAAAAAAACAACTATAAGAGACACATTATTTCTCACTCGTACATTAGAAAAAAGCTGATAAGCTTTTCTGGCAAACACAGGAACTGTCTGCATTTTTCAATGCAAACATCTAAAAAGCAGTGAGGTGAATTCTATTCCATTCATTTCTTATAGTTTGCAGAGGCAAACCTTAATCACACGTAAAATGGATTAGAAGTAGTTTCGTTCTACTTATCATCACTTTAATCTAAAAAGTTAAATAGACCTAACTATGGAGAAATATTTCCCCATTAAAGTGTAAAAAGAATGCATACACTGAAGTATTTATGAACGAAATTATATAATATCTGAAAGATCTGCTTCAAAATAAGCAAAGCAGGGGAGGCAAGGCGGCAGTGAGGCCAACAGGTAGGGACTCAGGGTAGTAACTGGGTGATACTAACTGCTAAAGCCAGAAGAACCCACTACACTACACTCATCTCTTCATTTCTGCATGTTTGAAATTTCCCATGTTTAAAAAATGAACAAAATAAAATGGAAAAAGTACACAATCCTGTAGTCAACTTGCGTATGTCTGAGCGCCAAGGACGAAAAGCTATGAAAAGCAAAAGCAATCAATGCTAAAATAAATTTTATAGATTCTTCAAATATACAAAAGTTAGCTGTCCAACAAAGGCAACAAAACTCTTGAAATAACAAGGTTATTACATTTCTGTCATCACTTAAATCTATAATTTATTATGTTGTGTCAACATCACGCTGCCATCAACCACCACCAATGAGTCAGTCACTAAAATGCTGATCTCTGAAACATGAAATGTAAGATTGACAGTTATCATTTACTAAGAAGACAAATCCTAAGTTTGAAAATCTAACCTCAGTACAAAAGAATATAAACAAAACAAAACCAAAAAAATTACAGGTAATTTAAAGAAAAAATAATTTTAGGGGCGCCTGGGTGGCACAGTGCATTAAGCCTCTGCCTTCAGCTCAAGTCATGATCTTGGGGTCCTGGGATCAAGCCCCGCATCGGGCTCTCTGCTCAGCAGAGAGCCTGCTTCACTCTCCCTCTCTCTCTCTGCCTGCCTCTCTGCCTACTTGTGATCTCTGTCAAATAAATAAATAAATAAAATCTTTAAAAAATTAATTTTTAAAAATAGCAAAATAACTCAAAATAAAACAAAAATTACTTTGACTTCCCTCTTTTATGGCAACCAGGTTTAAGACATGTCATGCTTCTAGAAAGGCTGCCACAAAGTAGACTTCACAGCAGACATCAGGAAGATTATGTATTACCTTTAAACAACTCAGACCAACACACATAACTCAAATAGCAATATGAAATTCTTAACTACAGATGCATCACCTACAGGTATGTTAAAACTTCTCCATGGTGTAGAGGCAGTCATTCTGGCAGGACTAAATGTGGCCACTTCTCTATTTGTAATTCCTGGAAGACTTAGGATAAAACCTCAAGTGGTACTGCTAATGTCATAAAGACACAATGCCTAGCAAGATATAGAGGAATAAAGTTATGCTCCATACTTTATTTATTTTTTAAAGATTTTATTTTTATTTGACAGAGACAGCAAGAGAGGGAACACAAGCAGGGGAAGCCAAAGCGGGAGAGGAAGAAGGAGGCTTCCCACCGAGCAGGGAGCCCTAGGTGGGGCTCAATCCCAGGACCCTGGGATCATGATCTGAGCCAAAGGCAGTAACCTAAAGACTGAGCCACCCAGGCGCTCCTATGCTCCATATTTTAGAACACAACTCAAAAATATGACATGAAAATTGCTTTCGTTCCCTGATCCTTAGATTCTGAATAATTTCTTGTAATTATTATAAGCATTATTTTTTAAATTATCAAGTATCTCATACAACCAAGACTATATAAATATGTATCTATATGCACAGATACACACTACATGCATATGAAAAACATATTATTTTAAAAACCCACAAATTTAGGGGCACCTGGGTGGCTCAGTGGGTTAAAAACCCACAAATTTACTATCCAAGTTAAAAATTAGAGAAAACATTAAACTTTTCACAAATTTCTATGACATTCTTACACAGAGGCCATGACAATAAAGAGCAGAGAAAACTGCACCATTTTTTCTTCAGATCTTTACATTATCTTAACGAATCCTGTAATCTGTGCTATCAAAACACCTTTCTGAATTTCTGGTTCTTTCGAAAACACAGTAAGTATTTTAAATGCCCAGTACTAGACGCATGGGTAGTCTGTCAAACAGCTGCTGCATTTTACCCCAGAAGAGTTTCTTGGATGCATGCACCGCCCCCAACCAAAAAAAGACATTAAAACTTTCATTACAAACTTACTACAGAAATACACTGAAAACAAGACAAGGAAGGCAACCAAAGTATGCCTCCTTTTCAAAAACACCAGATGACACCAAAACACATTTCATAGTTACAAAGTTGCATATAGACTGGGAAGACTTCATAGCTTCCTAAGAATTAATAATGGCAAAAACTCTGCAGTTAAGTCATAAAACATCAACTTCCAGGAATATTCTTCCCTCCTTCTTGCCCTTCTGAAAACCACCCCCATCACAGAATCCTCAGCTTCAAGTGGATTAGAATCTGTCCAAGGACAGCGTCCATATATTACTCATCTGTGTGTCTCCTGCACAGAATTCAATCGATAAAGTTTGTTACACATAACACAAATCCAGTAAATGAGCTTCGGAAGCTTGAATCTCAATGCGAAACCGGAAAGAGGAGTTTAAGAATAAAAAGGAAAAAGAATAAAGCTATAAATATCTGAGCAATATGTTTTCTTACCACCTAATTCAGAATCCTGTACTAACGTTGCAAAAATGAGTTTATAAAGAGTAAAAGACACAACCTTAAAGTTCTCCTTACTTTCAGCACACCAAAAACGGTCACAGAATCTTTTTCACCTAAAACTCATACCACATCTTCATCTCCAAACAAAGCTCCATGTATTTTAAAAGGCTTTCAAATGAGACCTAAATATGAAAAGGTTCTACTTCATCACAATTTCAGTTCCTGAAATCGTCTGCATCATTTGTGTGACTGTGTTAAAGCTCGTTTGGCAGTGAGGGCCTTTCATCAGAGTCTCAGAAGGATAAGTGACCCAAAAAAAACTTTACGAACTACTAATCTGGCATATCAAAAATACTGTTTTCCAGAGATGCACCATTCTGCAGTCTTCGTTCAAGCATTTCCCCCTCATAGTCACTGACAGGATCCTTACTGCAAAATTAGTCTTTAGAGACCTCCTTCAGCCCAGCCAAAAAGCTCCAACATCCACAGGAATGTCCAGCAACAGTGACCAGATCCCCAAAACAGTTCACTCATAAATGTCAAAAGAAGATGCAAAAGAAGGCCCCGCGGGTCACAGACCTGCACGCTTTCACATGGGTAAACACACTTGCATGCTTCCGTGTGAACCTGCCCGGACAGTAAATTCCCTCCACACTCAGCAGACCTTTAAGGAAAGTTTTAGTTTCAATCCCAACACTGACTGGTCCTTGGCGCTGGACTTAACCTACCCCTGCCACGCCAAGTCCCCTCAGAGGCACCCAGGTTGTTTCCACAGGGTCACGTCGATTATTCTCCCCCCAAGGCAGGGACCACTGGCTAACTGCTCAGCAAACTCCATAAACACATCTGTGGGACGAAGGGGAGAAGGTCCTCCCGCCCACAGACTTCCAGAGAGGCGGCCCGGCGTCCTCCAGCGGCCGCAGCTGAGCGGACGTCCTCCCCGCACGACACACGCCGAGCGTCAGATGCCGATTCCTCCACCAGCAATAACTAACCCGGTGTGGACGCCCGTTTCCTACAGGCCACCCTGCAGGGCCGGCCCAGGGGCGTGCACGCGTGAGACACAGCTCAGCCCCGGCAGCCGCGCCGGCCAGGCGCCCGCGCCCCCGGCTCCCCAGGAAGCCGGACGGTGCGGGAAGACCCTGCGGGGCCCGGGCGTGCGGCGAACGCACCGCTGGACAAGCAGGCACCGCACTGGGGCACAGCCTCAGTGTGGTCACCCACTCGGCGTGACCTTGGGGAAAGGATGTCGTCCTGCCTCCACTCCCCGCTCCGTGACGGGGGAAATCGGGCACCGCACCGCGTGCGCACGGGCGCAGGACCACCCCGCAGCAGGCGCCGTTCCGAGCAGCCTCCCGCCCCGGCGCCGGCCCCGACTCGGCCGCAAGAAGGCCGCCCGAGCCTCCCAGCCAGGCGGGGGCCGTCGGCTCACAGCCCGTCGGGGCTCGCGATGGCACGACCGGCCGCCGCCCGAGGACGGCTCCCAGGAGCACGACCGGCCGGGACGAGCGCCCCGTCCCCGGCCGCACACACAGACGCGGCGCCGAGGGCGCTACCGCCATGGCTCCTCCGCGCCGGCAGCAGCGGGCGCTCCCAGGCGGCGCAGGGCGCGGGCACGGCCGGCGGGGGGGCGAGCAGGCGGCCGGCTCCGGGACGCGGCGAGGCGCGCGGGGAACTCCCGCACACTTGCACGGACCCGAGCCAACTCTCCCGGAACACTTTCCGGCCCCGCGTGCACACACCCGCACACCGACTGCTCACGGCCACACTCGCCGTCCCCGTCCAAACTCCCCAGGACACCCGCTCAACTCGCACCCCGGGCCGGACAGCGCGCGCCGGGCCCGGCACCCCCGGCGAGCCCCCCCCGCCCCGCCCCGCCCCTGCCCCCGGGGCCGGGGGATGCTCCCGCCGAGCACCAACTAACCTGTCAGGGGCCCGGGCGGCTCCGCCTCCGCCCGCCGACTTTCCCGCCCCTCCCCCAGCCCCGGAGCCCGCCCGCCAGGGACACCCCTTCCCCCCCTCCCCCCCGCCGGGAGGGACTTCCCGGGCCGCTCAGGATCCCCTCGCCTCGCTCCCCTCCCCCACCCCGCCGCCGCTCTCCCGGAGGTCCAGGTCCGGGAGGTGACAGGGGCGCCCGGGCCGCCCAGGCTCGCCTCGCGCACGGAGCACTTAGGCCCGAAGCCTCCGCGGGCGGCTCTGCTCACCGTGTCAGAGGCCGAGGCCGAGCGAGAGGAGAGTGCAGGGAAGTGGGGAAGGGGGGCGGCCGCCAAGCAGGCTCCTCGGCGGCCCCGGGTCGGCGGCGGCTCCCTGCCGCTTGTCAGGAGGCGTCCCGCGGGGGCGCGGACGGGCGGAACCGCGAGCGAG